CTATATTCTTCCGCATATGGCAATAAGTTGTAAAATTTTAGGAGCTTGCATTTCGAACTGTCATAACTCTGACGCAGGCGTTTTAAATAAGACCTCAATGTTTAAATAATGCCTTATATTTAAAGAAAATATAACTAGAAAAAAATCCACGCGGTTCAGGCAGCAGACGGAACTCGAATCCGCACCCTTCGCTATCCGGGCGAATGCACTGACCAATTATGCCATATATTCTAGCCATTGTTAAGCTACAAGACAGCGCCATTTCTTCGCATTGTAGATAACTCACAATTCAGATCGGGTTCGAGTCCCGTCTGCTGCCTGGTCCGCGTGGAATTTTATCTAGTTATATTTTCTTTAGATTTAAACATCAAGCAGTTATATGCTTAAAAAATACAATTATAATAATAATAATATACTTTTATTTCAGACCCATTCCTACAATTTACAATTATTTCATCAATTCCAATTTATAATTATATTAATATTATATATAAACAGAAGTCAAATTACCACATTCATAAATACAAAAACAAATAACATTAGACCCATCGTTTATACATATTCGTATTGAAAATTCTCTCCGCCAGACCTGATATAACTCTATTATTCCTACACTCCTCAACCCTGGACATAAATTTGGCGATGCGGTTTCTTTGAATGGCATTAAATGAGTTTATTCTAGCCTCAAAGTACATTTTTGAAGCGCTACAACAGCGCAAAACAGGAAATGATAAACTGGTTAAACACATATAACATTCCAATTGATCCAAATTTGACGAAACCACAGATTTATGCTATTATATGTCGCCACAAGGAAAACTTTACAGTTTTCCGTAGACAAAATACTTGCAGAACATGGGCACACTACGTTGCGATTGCCGCCATATCACCCGGATTTCAATCCTACTGAAAATATATGGTCTCAATAGGCTATGTAGCCGCTACAAATGTGGATATGAATTTGAATTCGGTGAAAATTTTATTGACTGAAAAAGTAAACATGATTGGAGCTGAGGAGTGCAAAAATGTTTGTGAACACGCAATAAAATGTGAAAATGAATATCGAAGAACTGAACATCATATAGACAATTATACTGATAGGCTAGTGATAGATACGGGCGATAGTGACAGTGATGACGAGGTTGAGAGCTCACATAGTGATATGAAAGGAATTGAGAATTTAGAATGTGATTAGTAAAATGGCACGGAGAGGCTTCGCAGGTCTATTAGTTTTTTGTATTTTGTTATTTGGTTGGAAATAAAAATTATAGGTTTTCATTAAAATAAATAAATTAACATATATAGTACATATATGTTGTCTTTTACCTACATGTTTTCTTTTTGTATCGATTTCTAAAAAAAACATAAAAAAGTTTTAGCAGTTCTTAATAGATACCGGACTGTTAGTGTTTCCTGTGACTGAGATGACGCTCTACAAAGCCGAAGGTAGCCGAGTATCTCTCTAAAGCACGATGCGATATAAATGGCCTGGTACTTGTATGTTCCTTTGTGGAACACTAGAGACCAAACACGTGGACCGATTTTGATGATTCATACGTCAATCGATTCGTCTTAATCATGGAAGTGCTACTAAAGATATGATAGTAATCGAAATTCAATATGGGGACAATTAGGCGCCATTTTTGGTGAACGTTTGGTTCACTAGTATTATATAATTTGCTTTGGTGATTGTATAATTATTTAATTTAGCGATTAAAAGCATTTGCCACCGTGTCCAAAAGAGCAGACGGAAATTATTGCTTTCGTTAACCTACGACATTAATGCCATTGATTAGTATTGTAAATAGGGTGATTATTAAAAAAAAACATTCTTGAATATCTAATGGGTCCCGACTGTTAAAGTAGCTTTGATCCTTATGTAATATACATATAAGCAGTCGGGTTTTTTTTTATTATTGTAGCATGTTCTCAGAAATTCAATCAAAAACTCGCCATTTTGTATAATTCATAAGAATCATTTGGGATTAAGCTACGTTGCCGGAGAAATCCCTTTAGAACCAAATTGAAAATATTTATGTATATGCCTTGAAAGTTTTACTCGGAATCTGTACTTACAGGCTATATATGATATTAAATGAAATGATGAAGCTCAAGATTGCGAGTTGAATAGGTATTATATGACTATTATAACCAATTTATTACTTTGAGATTACAAACCTATTTCCTTTATTAAATGTAAAAATCACCAACAATATAGCTGAGTATATGATATTGATGTTTCTTAGTGTTATTATAAGGTTGTGTTATCGAACTAAAAAACTAGATCAATTTATTACCTCTATGAAATTATATAATCGACTGAATACAAATCTTTGAAAAATACTTATTAATCATCGTAAATTAACTTTTAATGGTGAGCCTAAGTTATCAATGGACACGGATTTGTTTTCAGTAACAAAACTTTTTAAATAACAGTTAATTAAAAATTTATCTGTAACAGAAATACACCCACGCATTAAAGTGCAGATATGCAAATCGTGTTCCATTTAAGTAATCGCGCCAGCATGTCGGCTCTGTAGTAATACACAAAGATAATGGCAGATAAACTGTCAGTAGTCATGTAGGTACACTACATACTGATAGTAGCTTTTTGTAATAATTGGAGTTAGAAATTGTACGGGTCGAGATAATGTTTGAGTTCTACCTACCCAAATAGGATGTGTGATACATGCCAAATAGTTCAAGAGAAGTAGAACGTAGCAGGTTGATACAAATGAAATTAGCCTGTCCAGTCCTCCATCAGATGAAAAAAGCTTGCAAGCAAATGGTAATATTGTAACGTGTTATGTTCCCTCCTGATAAATGATGAAACTTCCTCACATTTTGCCAAATCTTCTTGGAGTAGGAAAAACGATCTGGGTAAGAACTACGCGAGCAAATACCTACAAGTATTGCACATACTTCTTTTGTTATTTTTTTTTATAAGCAACGAATGTAAGAGCTAAAAAACCGCAATAATAAGGCTCCATGGGGTTGGAGATGTGGACAGGGTCACCAACGCGCGAGTGATACTTAAGTGTACAGTATCACGACCATCTATAGAAATACAGCGGTTGCTTATCATCAGGTAGGTCATAATTATGCTTGTTTGTCACCCTTTTGACATTAAAACAAAATGCGCTGGTTCTCTTTAAAACTTTCCAGCTATTGTTTTTTTTTTATATGCAAACGAGCAGACACACCGGTAAAGTAAACACCGTTGAATCAATGTTAATCTGTAGTTATGACATTTAAGAGAGTAAAGGCCATAGTGAATTTTCAGCTCGAATTGGAGCGCTCGTCTGGAGAAGTAACTTGAACCTTACAGAAGATCACAGTCAGACCCGCCTTTCCCAGTGGCCACTTTGGGCAAGTGCCCAAGGCCCCGCGATCGCTAGGGGGCCTCCTCAGATCAAATACAAAGTCCCTAGTTCCTATTAAATCACCAAACGGAAGTGATATGGGGCTTGACGGGGCCCCAACCTCATATTACTGGACTTCACCTTCACTTAACATCAGGTGGGGTGAAGTCATTTGTCGGACCTATCTATAATAAAAAAAAAAAAATGCCCAGGGCCTCCAATGTGTCAAAGACGGCACTGATCACAGTAAAACAAGTTTCGGTGGTTTGTGTTTCTGACAGTGAGTAAGGTTTCTGGGCTTCACGGAGTAGGGGATTGGGTCAGGGTAGGCAACGGTGCATGTGATATTTTTGGTATCACAAGGGTCTATAAGCTATGGTGGCAGCTACCCATCAGGCGGGCGGGCGGGTAAATAGGCGTCGTTGCAACATTGACACTCTACCTACCATCCCGCATTACGTGATACTATATAAATTCCAGGACCTTTTAGGATTTACCAAAACTTCTACAGAAACATGGGACTCGAACTACAGGTAGGATTGCTTTCGAGAAAAGTTTCATGTGACCGACAGGCGTAATGAAAGTGCCGATGGGCATTGAAATCTCGAACCATTCAGAGAATAAATGAAAGTCGGTATTTCCGATTGAAACGAGTTTCTAAGTTACGCAACAAAAACACTAGTACCTATAAATCAAACATCGACCTTATAACTAAAAATTACTTATATAGTACTATGACTAAGTGAAATGAAATAAAGTATTATTTAAACTTTGCATACACGTAGGCACTTAGCTTTTTCGACACTAATCAGCTAAGGTATATGGAAGGGATACCGAAGCCAAATTACGGAAGAAAACCATTTATTAGAAACGTATAAATCCTCTTATGCATACGTTAATACCAACTTGCTGTAGGTTATAAGTACATTCAGAATTCATAGGAAATGGTAAGAGGCGGATGCAAAAGTATAAAAGCTTAACATACCTACAAGTACCTTTGTATTAGTATTGAAATTATAATAAATATTTTTAAGAAGTTATTTACGAAATGGGAAATGAGTTTGTTATAGAGAATATATCTGTATTATTACCACAATTAACATTTCACATCTTTTGTAAATGTACTAAATAATAAAACCCGTTACAGTAATGTATATTATTAATCAGAAATGCATTCATTCCTAGTTAAAAAAGTACAAAAAAAACTTGTATTATTTATAGAAAACATTTAATACGTTTAAGTATTAAATGAGGCCACTTGATGACCTTGTATTGTCGAGTAGCAATATACATACATTAGATTCGTTATACCTCTTCCCATGTTTTCACAAGAGACAGCGGAAGTGGTAATGATTTCCACTAGTCACTGTTATTCGTCTTTTAGTACGTAATAACTTATACGCTTCACAAATGCACTCGAATTTATATCGCAGTACACAATATTTATAGATGGTATTTAAACACTTTATTACGTCATAAAAACTTCAACGTGACGTAGAATCCTTTTCCATAAAAACGTGTTAATGAATAATCGAGGCCGAGAAAACTCCTGTTGATAAAGCGTACCGTTTTAAATATACCAGGAAACAACAAAACAACGATATAGGAAAAGTAGGAAATAAAATGTAGGTAGCTTACCTTAACGTTACATGGAGGGTCCAGCTGTTTTCTACATAGTTTGCCCGCACTTTGTGGAGATTTCAGCCAAACGGGTCGGTTAGAGGCGCGTAGTGCATATTGCGGTGCGAAGGCTAGTGTGGCATGCGCGACCGCCCACGCTCGATAACCGCCGCCGTCGCGACGCGCCTGCTCGTACTCTCCGCCCGCCCTCCGCTCGTCTCTCCGCCCGGATCAACCTCCATAGTCACCATGCTCATAGTAGAACAACTTTGAGTTAACCTCGCATACATACTTCATAAAGTTTACAGTGTCAATACTGGACTACTGTACTGACACTGGAGTGGGCTAAGTGTCCAGTTTCCACACTACATTATACTTTTTAATTGGTCATTTGCAATATATTTTAAATTTATATAATAAAGCTTTAATAGAATTTAAAGTTTGTATACATATTTTTAATTTATCATTTGTATTTTACTTTGCCTACATTCCTACAAACTCTTTGGCAGAGTATAGAAAATTCCAAGGTTTAGACATCACTTTTATTGCCCCATTTAATATTTGCTTGGGGATAAAATGTTGTCCGGATACTAAAGTGATTGGTGGTCAGCCTATCGATTAAAGTTACCAAAGACGTCCCTGTCCCTTGATATTCTTTTACTACTGTGCTGAAAAGTTAGCATTTGTTTGCTTCTATATGAGATTCGGACACAGAATATAATTATTTAAATAAGGATCACTCATCGCTTAGTTTTTTTAGTTAGAAGTGATTGAGTATTCTTGTGACAGTAAAAATAACAAGTTGTTTGGGGAACAGAACACAAAGACAGGAAACGGAAAGAAAAATTAAATAATCTTTTAATGAATTTAAAGAAATTTCATAACGAGAGGATAATTTATGGTAATAATTATATCAAGTTCCCGGTTCCATTTCTGTATCCAAACGAAAATTTCAAGGACAATTGCTTGGTAATTATTATCGGCGATCTCCTTTCAAGGATATACTCACTTTGTTTTACTGCCATCTCCTAAGTTTTTATAAAACGTTTATGGCGATGAGAATGGCGACTATCCCTCAACTAATACTTAGGAAGCCATTTATAGCAATTTCCTAAGACAAGATTGCTTTAATGAAATCATAAACTTATTTATGTCAAGATATATAAAGATATAAATACATAAAGTTTTACAGCTACGCTTCGCCTCGTGTGATAATAGTATCACATGAGTGTTTTAATACCTAATTATAAATAATTGCATACAAGACATTATCTACACCCATGATACCCAATCCTCTAAAAGATTCTGTAACCGCGTTATAAGAACTTAAATTCATGAAATGTTTCGGGGCTGTGGTAGTGACACGCACCTGAATAACAAGGTTCTTTTTTTTTAAATTCATAATATCACGTATTGAGCAGTGAAAATTGTGGCTGTTTGATGAGTAAGCCCTTGGTGCGAAAGGTATTTAAAAAGCGAAGGACTGTTATTATGAAAGGGGTTTGGGTAAAAGTGGCTTAATTTTCAAAGTCTGCGGCCACGCATGATTTTTTTTTATTGAATAGAACTAAAAATATTAAAAATAAAATATTAAGTTGATATATCTCCAAACTATATCGAATCCATATCTTGGCTGTTGTTTTTTTTAAATAGAATAATCGAAAATTTATATCATTGAATCTTATATGCTTTTTTGTATGTACCGTTGTCTAAAACATATCATTTAAGTTAATAACGGTTTAACAGACCCTTTTTGATCTGGTCTGACCGCCTCAGCCAATCACATCAGTCTTTCGATATTCCACGTGGTTCTCGTTTATGTGAAGATCATGTGAACTCTATATATATGCCCGTGTAGCATAGAAGTTTCATTTGATGTCGGTTGTTATGAACGCGAAGTACTCGTATATTCTGCAATTAATTACAAAACTCCAATCAGGCATTCGTAAGTAGGTACTCTAGTCCCGTCCGCTGCCTGGTCCGCGTGGATTTCTTTCTAGTAAACTTTTCTCTAGATTTAAACATCTAGCAGTTAAATGCTTAAAAAAGAATAAAATCATAACTCTAGATCAAGTTTTATATCTGTTTCTTTTTTTCATTAATGTTAGCTTTTAGAAAGCGTTACCACAATACTAAACATGTATAATAATCTCAGGAAATAATTTTATGAGTTTTTATATCATATGACTTTTGTTAGAATTCAAGATCAAAAATCTTGGTTTTCATATTAGTTATAGAACTACTACTTTGCTAAGAACAATTCACATATATAAAACAATCTTAATTAGTTCGGTGGCCGCTGTAAAAAAAATCAAGCCAACCTCCATACAAAATTACCCAATCCCCTTTAGTGCAACATAATAACACCCGTTTGGGTGTCATAATGTTTTTTTTTAAGTATGACATTGGCTGTTTATATTTTGGCAATAAGCTATCTGTTTCATGATCTTTAATAAAGGTTTTAAAGCAAGCAAGCAGGATGTAGATAAAAACAATAATTAACGAATGAACTAGATCATTTATTCATCTCATTACGAATTACTGCGTATGATTTATTATTTTTAACAAATTACGAAATCTATATCTATATATATAAAAATCAATTGCTGTTCGTTAGTCTCGCTAAAACTCGAGAACGGCTGAACGGATTTATCTTATCTTGGTCTTGAAAAGTTCGTGGAGGTCTAGGGGAGGTTTAAATGTGAGAAAATTTGGAAAAATTGCGAGAAAGATAGTAAAAACGTCAATTTAATTTTCCCATATAAACTGTTCTATCTGCTTTCCTTTCAAACATTTGACGTTCGACCCTTTTGGTGCGGTAGACTCGGGTCCGTCATTTCTTCCAAAGTATTTTAACCCGTACGAAGTACACGGGGTCAACTAGTATCACACTAATATTATAAAGGCGAAAGTTTGTGAGTGTGTGAGTGTGTATGTTTGTTACTTCTTCACGGCTGGAGCGATTTTAATAAAATTTGCTATGGAGTAAGCTGACATCCTGGATAAACACATAGGCTACGTTTCACTGTGGGAAAATATCCCTAATAAACCGCGGGTAATACCGCGGGGCACAGCTAGTATCTATATATATAAAACTCAAAGGTGACTGACTGACATAGTGATCTATCAACGCACAGCCCAAACCACTGGACGGATCGGGCTGAAATTTGGCATGCAGGTAGATGTTATGACGTAGGCATCCGCTAAGAAAGGATTTTGAACAATTCTACCCCCAAGGGGATAAAATAGGGAATGAAACTTTGTCAATTTTAAACCGACCGGGCTGAGACTTTGCATGTAGGTATAAGAAGAATCATAGATGAATGTCATTGTGTATAATACAAGCCTGAGAACAAAAACTGTAGTCTACACTTCAGCTCTACACCGAAGCGAAGCGAGGGCGGGCCGCTAATATATAATAAAAATGTAAGCGACGCGTGTCTGTGCATTAAATATTTTTGCAATAAAAGTAGTTTGGGGGTCTTCGAATAAGTAATAGAACATATTTCTATAATTTTTAGAACCTTTGTCTATTTGTTTGTCGGTTTGTCTGTTCATTTGTTCGCGCATCTAACCAAAACAGCTTAATTAAATAATATAGTAATGCATTGATAATATATTTATATTGTATCTCTAGGTAACATTTAGTCTTTATTTCATTCAAATTCTATCAAGTTATTACGATATAAGCATAAAGCCACGCAGAAGTACAGTAATGTAATTTCATACAACATTTAACTATCAGTGCTTATAATAGTTGGTGCTGATTATTTCTACTTTGCGGCAAGATTTACGATTGTTTATTTGTAATTTTTTTTGGTTCCTCCCTGGCGAGCAGGTGCGAAATAATGAAAGCCTACATAGCCCACAGCCGACTGTAGGCTAATGTTAGCCTCTACCGCTTCCGGGGACGATGCAGGAATATAAATACTAGAATTTAAAACAATCAAATTAAAACTATATTGCGATGTAGAAAATGTTTAGCCTCATCTGTTTTAATGAAAATTATTGTCAGAATTAATACAAGGCTTACGGGGGATACGCTGAAGTCAAAAAATGTTTTTTTAATTTGTCAAAATCAGCAAATTTTCTTTATTTAGGAAAAACCAACATGAATTATCCACTTATAACAAAATAAAATCTAATTACAATTTATGCAAAAATATTTCATTTTCAATAATAAAGAAACGGACAAAGTTGTTATTTTTAGACCTTTTTTATTACGGGGGTCTATCTCAAAATTGAAACTAGTTAGGAATGGGAAATTTTGGTTTAAGATGTTCTTATGCTGTACTTAAACAACAAACACTGAAATCGCCAATTTTTAATGTACTTTGTAAATTGTAACGAAAACAAATTATTTTTTCTTTCCCGGTTTGTAGTACGGTTAAATCGTTTGTCGCAATCTTTAAATGTAAGCAGTTTTCAAAATAATTGAAAAATACCCTATTAAAAAAACCATTCAAGCCATATAACCCGCTGACAGACGGACGGACAGCGGAAACTTACCTAGTAAATAGGTTCCGTAGACACCCTTTGAATACCAAACACAAAAAGGCTCATTCGCCGCAAGCATTACGGCATTATGACGAGCATTAGCAAAAACATTCCATTACACGGTTTAGTCTATATTTACTTTACAAACACTTGTTTCGTTTAGCAAGCTGAGGGTTTGTTAACTAAATTATAGTAATGACACGGTTGTTGACACCTATAGTATTCACACAGTAGCTTGTATAATAAAAAGCGGATTTCATTCTTTTATAGACATCATGGTGGCTTTGGACTGTAATCAGGTATTCGGCAACAGCCTTTCGGGGGATTGAATAAAAAAATTGGAACGTGACAGTGACTGTATCTCACACGACCTTTCTTTGAGTACGAATCTGGAATTCGAAAGTTTTATCTTATTACATGAAAGGAAACAACTAAAGTAGTAATGAATAAACAATCATTTATTATTCAGCGATAAATATGACACTTTGTGTATTACAAAGAGTTTAAGAATAACATATTTATTTTCCCGTGTCTTCTTTTAAGGAAACAGTTCTGTTTAAAACGATCTGGAACAAAAAAAAAATACACATATTGAAAAACAGTAATAAGCAAATGATAATGTTGTGTATTCTTTCTTTATCTCTATAATTCGAACCACTTCAAATCCGAACACCGCTGTAATCCAAACGTCCCACACCCGCCACATTTCTTGGCCAGAAAAATGCTTTTAAATATATAAATTGCGACACAAAGATTTAATTTATAATTAAACACCTCCGAACAAACTAAAATATTGGATTTCTTTAAAAAAGCTCAATAGACGAAATGTTTATAGATGAATAGACATTAGAAAATTAACAATAGTATTAGTTATATTTCATAAAAAATACCCTATAAATTCTCTGTACCATAAACCGAAAGTTCCACGAATCCGAACAAGGGGTTAATTTGCGGAGTTCGGATTAAAGAGATTCTTCCGTAGTCACAGCGAATATCCTTATTAATACTACTTTATAGAAAGACGCTATCAATGTAAAAAAAAAAAATTAGTATTCACCATGGCGATTTCTACTTTACCAATTAAAATATTAATTCAATAAAAAAATGGAATCAAAAATTTGTTTTACAATTTAAGATATACTTGACAAAAATACAGTTTATAAATGAGCTCATTATACTTATACTTACCGCATCATACAAGGGTTATTCTTTAACATTTAAAGGTTACGTATGTATAATTAGGTAAACATTTGATTGATTTCAGCCTACATGACATAGCGTTCATATTTTGCTTTTAAAAATATTTCGAAAAAGAAAATAAGCGGCATCAAATTAATTTATAAAAGTGCTGTTTATCTCAGCAATTTGTTTTAAGAAGTACGAGACTAAGCGAAATTATCACAACAATATTGTAAGGCATATTAGATCAAATTCATTAAGGCCCACTTGCACGTTCAAGGGTTAATTTATTTACCTCCGAGTTAACTGTTGAACTGGGGTTAAAAAATATTTTTTCTTGCACTGCCAAGAGTTAACACTAAACCTTAGGTTAAATAATTAAATAATAAACCCTCCGAAGTTGGAGGGTTAAATTGCTAACTCGCGGTTTAAAACGTCAAAATTTTTATTTTATTTATTTGGACAACCAACAAGAACATACACCTTACATGATAATAATACATTTCTGTTCTTAAATAATTTGGTGTTGCCTTAATAACAGGCTGTCACGGAAAGCAAAAAAAGTCTAATCTAATTAGGAGCATAATTAATCCTTTACAAAAATATACTGATTTTATAAATTAACAAAAGCAAACAAAAGTCCATTACATTTCATTTTTAAGATAAAAAACCAAACAAAAGCGATAGATAGATGAGTTATTAAGTGTTAAGCTGTATTTTTTTTAAATGTAGGGAGACTCAGATTAAATAAATCGATTACCTTATTTTTGCTTATTGAATTATATTGCGCTTGAAGCCTGTTTATAGGAGTGTAAAGACCTAAATTAGTCTTGCAATATTTTGGTGTAAACAAGGAATATCTTGACACACGTGGTAGTCTGCAAGTGATCGAGAAGTTAAGTTTATGTATCAATTGGGGGCAATTTATGTTACCATTTGCAACCCTATGGAGAAAAGATAAGCTTATCATATTGCGCCGATTTTTAAGCGATGAAAATTTAAAATGCTTTAAACGTTCTTTATATCCGTGAAACTTTTTTGCGAGGTTAAATTTATAGGACAAATGATACAAGAACCTCTTTTGCACACGTTCTATTTTATTGGTGTGTACATCATAATAAGGGTTCCAAGCTGCACTGCAATATTCGAGAGTAGATCTAACCAGGATTTCATACTTCTTATTATGGTTGATTGGTTTTTAAAGTTTTTAGTATTTCTTATTACGAATCCCAGACATTTAAGTGATATAGAAACTATATATTCGTAATGTTCTCTTAAACTCATTTTTTTATCTAGGATTATACCAAGATCACGTACAGTCTCGACTTCGCGGATAGGTTGGTTAGATATTGTGTAAGATCCAGACACATCGGAGTGGTTACGAGTAAAGCGGATATAGTAACATTTCTCTACGTTTAAAACCATCTTGTTTTCTATACACCAAGAGTTCAATTTATTTAGATCATCTTGCATCAAGCAAACATCTTGTATATTCTTGATTGGTCTCATTAATTTAAGATCGTCTGCGTAAAGATATACTTTGCAATTTTTGAAGCATTCCGTCACGTCGTTCACAAATATATTAAAGAATGTTGGCCCCAAATGGGAGCCTTGAGGAACTCCAGTAAGATTTGGAAAAGGATCAGATTCGTATCCACTCATTACGACCTTTGAAGTACGTTCACTTAAGTAAGAAGCGCACCATTTGAGAAAACTACCAGCAAAACCGTATTGGGATAATTTCCGAAGTAAAATATAGTGAGGAACCCTATCGAACGCTTTCGATAGATCAGTGTAGATCACATCTACAGATACTCGGTTGTCCATAGAAAGAGATACCTCATCAACAAAGTCAACAAGGTTGGTGTTGGTTGAACGAGCACCAACGAAACCATGCTGAAAATCCGACAACATACTCTTAAAGTGCCATGATATAATTGGACATAAAAACGATTCGAGGATTTTAGCAAACACAGACAATATAGTAATGGGTCTGTAGTTTTTAACACAACTCAAATCCCCTGTTTTATGGATCGGTACAATTAAACCCGTTTTCCAAAGAGAGGGAAATATATCCGTATCCAGTGAGGCATTGAAGATAAGTGTAAGGGGAAGTGATAACTGTTCAGCACAGTTTACAGCAAAAACCGAAGGTATTCCATCCACTCCAGCCCCTTTGCGATGCAAGTGATTTTAGATACTGTAAAACTTCCCTCTCGGTAAAAGAAATAGAACACAGCGAGTAGGATATTTCACCATAATTGTTCGAGCATATGTTGTTTAATGGATTAATATGTTCTGTACCATAGGTAGATGAAAAAAAAGCAGCCAGCATGTTGCAAATTTCTGGACCAGTTGAGGCTGTCGCGTTGTCAAATTTCATTGTAGAAGGCAATGCTACACTGTTTGTACTTTTTTGTTTAATGAAGGTCCAAAAAAACTTAGGGTCAGATACAATAGACTTTTCAATAGTTTCTACATATTTATTATAGCATTTAATAGTTAAAGTATGACATCTTTTTTTCAAGGTTTTGAAAGAAAGATTGTCCAAAGGGTTTTTATATTTATTATATAGAATTCTTAATTTATTTTTTTCCTTCAGTAATTGCTTTAGTTCCTTAGAATACCAAACTGGAATTTTATTGGGGGCAACTGGGGACACCGGTACAAATCTCTTTATAGCTTGATTCAAAATACAATAAAACCTATCAACCATAGCATCCACTGAAGTAAATACACTGAATTCCTGACTCCAATTTATACTGTAGAGATTTTTACGTAATTTGCTTTATGAAAGTTTTTTTTAAAAGAGTTTTTGTTTGTTTCTTATTTGTGTTCATCAAACTCCGTACAGAATTCTAAAGGCGGGTGATGAAAATTTTTGTTATGGGTACAGATGGAGAATTAAGGTTACATATAGATATATTAGAAAGGATTAAATCTAAAATACGGTTATTTATATTGGTAATAAAGTTGAACTGATTTAAGTCGTTAAAAGATAAAAATTCTAATAGATTCTGATAAAATAAAGATAAAAATTCTTACAGGTTATTATAGGATGTTTTGCGTGACGTTTTATAAGGATAACATTTTATTTTATTTATTTCTGAATGATGAATGACTTTTTGTTTTCTGATGATCAAGAAGATATTGTCAACTATAAAAGTACAGATTTTAATCGGAGAGTTGCAGTAACACAGTTATATTCTTCTATTTCATCCTGCCAAGGTATTTGTTTTTAAAAAAGAGTGGCGCCGTCAGTTTTTTTATTTTCAATAATATTTTTATATTTGTATAAAATATCACATAAAAGTAAACTGTCACTACTTGTAAAATTCGGGGCACGTAAACGATATCTTCTCCATTTTATAAATAAAACCGCACGAAATTGTTGTCACATAATACAAAGTTACTAAATAGACAGGTACTTTAAAAACACCATGCAATCGGTATGCAAACATCTATTTGACAGACAAATCACAGGATGCCATTCAACTTAAACGCCCAAAAACACCACGTCTTTTCAAATTTGACAGTACGAAAGGGACATGTGCAAGATACTGTTGTGTGAAAGAGAGAACAATACTTATATGTCATTCATCATTCACTCTTTTGTATTTAGCCGGTTGTAAGAAGAGAGAATGAATTTGAATTTCACTGAAATAATTGCCCTCATGCAAAATAAAATTGTTGGGTTAGTAAACCCTTGGTTATTTTCTGTTCGAGCAAGATAAATTCTGAGTAAAATAAAACGATAAATTAACTTGAGTTATTTTGTTATCTCAAGATTTACGTGCAAGTGAGCCTAAGCATGTTATGAAACTATGTATAAAAATAAAATGATTTAAAACAAATAGTAAATAAATAAAAACACTCACATGACTAGCACTAGCGTCAGGGTCGACAGAGAAGAAACCTATCCTCTCGAATTGGAATTTGTCGTACACCTTTGCCCCTCTGATGGAAGCGTCTGCGAGTGCCGAAACAACTCGCAGTGTGTCTTCGCAGCAATCCGATAGGAACCCACCTGGGACTTCGCTGGGATCCTCGGGGTTTTTATGTTTGAACCTAGACAAAGTAACAATATAAGTCCTTTAAAACACTTTTTGAACAGTTATAAAGCTTTTGGGTCTTGCGACCTGCGTCGCGTCTTGATACGCGACATCACGAGTACCTGTCACAAAGGCGACCGACCCAAGATCCAAATTAACCCGACACTACACCGAAGATATCCCGGACGTCAGCCTGTACGAGATTAGTGTAGCTCTGAAACAGCTCAAAAACAAAAAGGCGCCGGGTGATGACGGAGTTACAGCCGAGCTTCTGAAAGCAGGTGGACGACCAGTCTTGAAATCTCTTCAAAAGCTATTTAACTCTGTCATACTCGAGGGCAAAACGCCTAGCGCATGGCATAGGGGAGTAGTGGCGCTTTTCTTCAAGAAGGGCGACAGGGCCCAATTGAAGAATTACAGACCCATCACGCTCCTGAGTCATGTATACAAGCTGTTTTCGAGAGTCCTCACGAATCGTCTCGCGCGCAGGTTTGACGACTTCCAGCCTCCCGAACAAGCCGGATTCCGAAAAGGGTTTAGTACCGTAGACCACATCCATACGCTGCGGCAGGTTATACAGAAGACCGAAGAGTATAACCTGCCATTATGCTTGGCGTTTGTGGACTACGAGAAAGCCTTCGATTCGATCGAGACATGGGCCGTGCTTCAGTCACTCCAAAGGTGCCAAATAGACTATCGATACATCGAAGTGTTGCAGTCGTTGTATGAAAACGCCACTATGTCAGTTCTACTCCAGGACCAAAACACGAAGCCAATCCAGCTGCAGCGTGGTGTAAGACAGGGTGACGTTATATCACCGAAACTGTTTACAGCTGCGCTGGAAGACGTTTTCAAACTTTTGGACTGGAGCGGACTTGGCATCAACATAAACGGCGAGTACATGACGCACCTTCGATTTGCAGATGATATCGTAGTCATGGCTGAGACCATGGATGACCTTGGCACAATGCTCGGCGACCTCAGTAGGGTGTCCCAACAAGTGGGTCTCAAAATGAACATGGACAAGACGAAAATCATGTCTAATTCCCATGTTGTACCCACTCCAGTGACTGTTGGGAGCTCTACACTGGAAGTTGTTGACCAGTACGTATACCTGGGACAAATAGTCCAACTGGGTAAGTCCAACTTCCAGAAAGAGGTTAATCGACGAATCCAACTCGGCTGGGCAACGTTCGGGAAGCTACGTAGCATCTTCTCGGAACATCTACCGCAGTGCCTCAAGACGAAAGTCTTCAATTCGTGCGTGTTGCCAGTGATGACATACGGAACCGAGACGTGGCCGCTTACAATGGGTCTTGTAAGAAGGCTCAAAGTCACCCAAAGGGCAATGGCTCTCCATTGCTGGCTATGCTCGGAGTTTCTCTGCGTGATCGAATCAGAAAGATACGCAAGAGAACTAAAGTCACCGACATAGCCCACAGAATTGCAAACCTTAAGTGGCAATGGGCAGGGCACATTGCTCGCAGGACCGATGGCCGTTGGGGCGGAAAGGTCCTCGAGTGGCGACCGCGTACCGGGAAACGCAGTGTTGGCAGGCCCCCCACAAGGTGGACCGACGATCTGGTAAAGGTCGCGGGAAGCCGCTGGATGCGGGCAGCATGGGACCGATCGTTGTGGAAATCCATGGGGGAGGCCTATGTCCAACAGTGGACGTCTTTCGGCTGAAATGATGATGATGGTGATGATGACCAAAAAGGAGCCTCTTAAAGGCAAGAAATATAGGAAATTTAAATAAATATTTTTTGGTGAAAGTGAAAACACAAGAAATAAATATAAGACTTTACAAATTTATATCTACAGTGCAAGAAAGAGAAACTGTGTGGTGTCTAAATGAAATTGTTCCTAATTGAATGTTATCTAAACAAAACTTACTTTAGTAACAAGCTGTGCCAAATCTTGCATTTGATTGTCTTACAATCATATTATGGCATATGGCATACTTTGCTTGAAATCAAAAATGTAATTTTCAAAAGTTTATAACATAATATTCAAATAGCTTATTCCTTTTGTAGTAGGTTTTATTTCTTTTTTTACTAATATAAGGTGAGGTTTCAAACGTTCCACATCATATGCGACTACTGTAAGGATCGCTCGTTTTTTTTGTGTTTAAAAAGCATAGACTAAAAATATTATTCAAATTAAATTACTACAGCCATCTTCTAAATTTATGAAGTGAAATCGATGTATTTAGGTTCCTCGTACCAAAAATTTTAAGAAATAAATATTTGTTTTGGACTATTTGACATCAGTGAACTAGCCTATTTCTGACTGAATCTTTTCTTGAATTCTTTATGACCTAATTCTTAATAATATTTTTATTGAATCTAGGCTAAAATAAATTAAGAGTAAAGTTAACAGTTAGGTACTTACAGAGGTTCATACAAACGCACTTCTACTTTCACTGGTTCAGATACCCAGTGAATGAAAGCTTTAGGTTTATCTGCAGACTCGGAGGGTTCCGCTGTGCATTCTAGCTCGACAATTCCACCGAAATTATCTTTAATAACATTGGCCACCTAAAATCGGTTACTTAAATGAGTATTTTTAGCATATAAAATGTATATACTAACATAAGTCGATGAACTACAGACGGAAATCAAACCAGCGAGTTCCATTTTTCAACGAATTACTCCAACCCGTCTGAGGTGCGTGAGCTAAACACGAGTGAAGTTTAATAAAGGAGATTGGGCATTTTAGGGATTTTTATCTCTCAATTGTACACTAATGAAAATACTGACAAAAATCGTTATCTAATTATTGATGACTGAATACCAAATTTCAGCAATTTTCGCACTCTCACAAAAATATGCGATATTTTTAAAATGTAGAATGATTTCCTATGTGATAAGCCCACCCGGTGCTTGGTGGTCGGTTGCTATACGGGACGTCGTCGTCTCGCCACCCCAAGCGATATCCGGATCGCGGATAGCGTTCCGAAACGTTAACTTAGGTTTCCAATCTTAACCTATTAATGTCATTAACATTGTTAGAACTAGTCCAAGATACGAAAATACATATACAAAGAATAATAGAACATATTATTCGTGTGACTATGATTTATTTACAAAAGACGATTAAAACAAAAAATCCTTAAATAAAAGAATGTATATCTACTCGGAGTTCCAGCAATACGTTTCGAAAAAATCACCGTTGTTCTGTCAATGTGAACAGTGTCTGTCAGTGTCACTGTGATCACTGTCAGAACTCAGATCTGTCAGTCAGTCGATTTCTCGCTATTGCCGTGTAAAATGATGCTATAAGCCGCGCCAATAAAGAATCGAATCAAAAATGGCGTCTATGTACCTGCACTGACAGATGCTAGGGCCAACAAATAAAAAGATAGATAGAAAGAAAAAGTTGTTTATTAGGTAATGTCGAGACAGTGCGAGAACAAAGTCAGAACTGATATTTTTTTTTTGCATGCTGTACGCGCCGTGTGCGACTAAAGACAGCAATAGTTTAGAGTGAGAGCGCATGATCGCCGCCGCCATTTTAGATTCGTTTCTTTATTGGCGCGGCTTATAATAATGTAATGCTAAATAATAAAATGTGTAAACAAATGTTACCCGCAGCACTGCTCAACCCCTTTTAGGATTGTGAGCGTGATTATGTGTTTGTATATAGGTAATATTAAGATTAGAGTAGTTGCATAGTAGCGGGGATTGTAAAAAGAGGTTATGTAGATATATTTTTTTAAATTCCAATAACTTTGCTCAGAGAGTACGGAGATTAAAGAAATAAAAAAACCCTAAAAGTATTAAATATAAGCAATATTTTTAAGCTTATTTGATTGAAGTACAAAAATCTTTAGTTCGTCCCCAAGCTCCATACTAAGATGCCCAATCTCCTATGTTTTCCAAATAATTTTACTTCTCTAAGTAGCTCTAGCAACATCGTCGACTCCAGCTTTTTTTTTCAGACAACAGCGAGTGTGTATCTTGTTTAAAAATATCCAACGTCGACTTTCACTTTCCATTAATTTTATTTTTATCTAGAAATTATTTTCGTATTTGGTTTTGGCGACTGGAGCGTCCTATCCACCTTAACCACTACAAGAAAACAGAATAGTGTTATTTTGCTGCATGGAAGTGTAAGGTGAATTCTCTATATACGGGCGCTCGATTTAAACTAATAATTTTAAAATTCAATATATCTCTTTAATGCTCTCCTTAGTCCTAACTCTTAACTGTTTCGATCCAATCCTCTCCAAAACTTACGGAAATGTCAAAGTGACATAAGCAAATCTCTCTCCCAAATATTGAATGAAAATAACTTTGGCTCCAGATTAATTATAATTTGATTGATGAATCACATTTTTACAATACCTTTAAAACATATCCAGCATGTCTCAATCCTACTGATTGAGTTGGTGTCAAACGGCGATAACCTTTCCCTGGTGATTCCTTGAAGTCTGTAGATTCTATGTAAAGCACTTTATATAGGACCACCTTATGAGATCCTTTCTCAGGTTCATTAGGAAAATCGGGTACATTTATAGTGATTGGTTTATCGCTAGGAAAGTTTTTGATTGTTATTTTCAGTGGCTCTAACACAACCATGACTCTGCAAGAAAAAAATATCATTGTGTCTACATAGCAAATATGTACAAATCTTTAAGAGGTGTCATGTCAAATAGACTTTTATTAATTGGCAGAGCAAATTGCCGCACCCCTGATGCTATGCTTAGTCCAATCGCGAATATAACTGAAGGGGCAGAACTGTGAGTAGCCATCCTTACCTTGCTGGCCTGTACCGTATCTCATACCACATGAGTAAAGAAACGTACAGACGTACAGAGACAAAGCTTCATACAACCGCGCTGCGATCGTTTCACTACTACAAGCACGTGCGACTGAGCACAGACTTCCTGTCTCTTATGCACTACTCAGTCACACGTCATTGCTCATCAACATGTCGTGCTCAAGCGCAGTACCCTTAGCACGAACCAATATCGAATTCGTAACGTGTGCGAGTCCGAAATGTCATTGTCAAATGTGTACTGATTTTGAGTTCTCGTTACGTACTTTGTGGCGCTGCTGTTCAAGTTTCCATACAAAATTTGACATTGACATTAAGGACTCGCAAACTATTCGAATTCGATAATGGTTCGTGCTAAGGGTACAGCACTCGCGAAACAGTCGCGGCATATATGTTTTCGTTTCACGGTTTGAAATAATAAAGTGTTTAAAAAACAATATGGTTTACTGTACTGTTCTAATTTTACTACTTATAAATATCATTTTTAGTTAAATTTTCTTTACATTTAAACATCTAACAGTTTAATGTTCTAAAGTCTGAATATAACAAAGAACTCATCATCATCATCAGCCTATTAATGTCCCCACTGCTGGGGCACAGGCCTTCCCTATGGATGGGTTAGGGAGATTGGGCCATGACCCACCTTGCGGGCCCAGTGCGGGTTGGTGGGTGCTAACGACTGCAGATGCAGCCGGGACCAACGGCTTAACGTGCCTTCCGAAGCACGGAGGAGCTCGAGATAGTAAATTTTTGGTCACCCATCCAATGACCAACCACTGCGAAAGTTGCTCAACTTCAACGACCGCAGCCGAACGCGCTAACCACTGGCGCCATCGAGTTCCTCGAAAAAAAGAACTCATATTTTTAAAATTAACATTAAGAACACTGAATAAACAATAACTTTGCTATGAAATATATATACTTCAATATCTGAAGAAATATTTTGTAAGGTTATGTTATTGATGGCGAAAAATTGTTATTTTACCTACATATAACGTAAAACGGTGCATTCCAAAAAATAAAGGCCTCCGATTGAGCATTTTCAATCAGATGACAATGTATTATTTTTATAACATGGAGCTGATCTAATGATGTAGTCTGGAGGTATGTATGATAACTATTTAATAACACAACGCTGCCATATCCTGTTGTGGCTCGTTTCGTAAAATGGTGTATACTAAAACAAGCGAGCGCTGCGCAGAAACTACTTTGAATAAGCTATGAAAAAATAAATGAAGATAGCTCAAGGAACAGACCCTGGCGCGATAACATTGAGCACTTCTCGTACTGCAGCGTCAACATAGAAGGATCCACGGCACCGACTGACCCGGTCGCTCCCAGACCCGCGCAGAAACTTTTTTGAATAAGCTATGAAAAATAAATGAGGTAGCTCAAGGAACTGACCTTGGCGCGGTAATATTGAGCACGTCTCGTACTGCAGCGTCTAACATAGTAGTATCAACGGCGCCTACTGACTCGGTCGATTTGCGGAAAATTGATCGAAAACAATTCATCGAATTACAATTCTTCGAACACAATTCATCGAAAAAACAATTCGTCGAAAAACAATTCTTCGAACGGTAATTCCAAAAAAAAAATGAAAATTTAGCAGGAGGGAGGCTAAAACGAGGTGGGGAAAGGGGAAAAAGTATGAAAAAAAAAACGTTGCACGTACAAAAGTGTCGTTTCTGGCGATTCGCCGGCCGCTGCCGCGGCACGCTCGCTCCGCTCGCTCGGCTCGCGCGTTTTTGGTCATCATACTAACCTAACCTAACCTAATGAACTCTTTAGACTTTATTCATTGCGGGGGGCTTCGCCCCCCGAGCCCCCCTTGCGGGGGCTGCGTCCCCCCGCCCCACTTCGGTTCTGTCACTAATAATATGAAATATAAAAAGCATGAAATTCTACACATTAATTTATTTTGTATACATGTTTTATGGCATTAATTGTTTCTAAAAACGCGTCTTTTTTATATTTAATTATGTTTCTGCGTCACAAATATTCTACAATCGAATCTGCAAAATCGTGCGGATGGTTATAATTATCTTTTCTGAAATATCTTTTGACAGCCCTCCACTGGGACTCGATCCTCTGCGTGTGAGTACCGTCTGGGGCAATAAATGGGTTGTCTGGATCAGAATGGTTTACTTTTTTGTTTTTCAGGGAATTACCGTTCGAAGAATTGTTGTTCGACGAATTATTTTTTCGATGAATTGTGTTCGAAGAATTGTAATTCGATGAATTGTTTTCGATGATTTTTCCGGTGAGGGACTCGGTCACTACCTGACCCGCACAAAAACTACTTTGAAAAGCTATGAAAAAATAAATGAATATAGCTTAAGGAACTGACCTTGGCGCGGTAATATTGAGCACGTCTCGTACTGCAGCGTCTAACATAGAAGGATCCACGGCACCGAGTGCCCCCGTAACGCCCAGACCAGCGCAGAAACTGTTGATGGCGGCTGCTGGCAAGCCGCGACGGCGCAGCGCCGTCAAAGTATACAATCGAGGATCGTCCCAATCTTAACAAAAATTAATTAATAATAAATATTTAAACACTCACACCAATTCGCCTAGCCCCAAAGTAAGCACTGTAAGGCTTGTGGTTTGGGATAGTAGGGTAACGGATAGAATAAATATATAAAATAATATATAAGTATATTTATATAGAAATACATATTAAACTTCCATGACTGGAGTACAAATGCTCGTATTTATCACACAAACATCTGCCCCCACAGGGATTCGAACCCGGGACCTATCGAGTTGGCGACATCATAAAACCCGGCGTACAAACCACTCGGCCACGGAGGCCGTCAAAATCTACAATTAATCAACGAGTTTATTTTACTAGAAATAGATCCATTATCATTAATCCGCCCCTCAATCTAGGCTAGAAGTCAGAGGACAGGATTGCACTTTCCGCAACCCGGAAGGACGTACTGACCAACTTTGCTTCCGAGACCTTGATGATTGTGTGATCTAATATTACTTAAGCTGCAAGGCAGCGGTATCTTTTTATTTTGAGTTTATAGAAAGTTCAGAATGCTCTTCAATCCGTAATCATAGATCAAAGAATCGTCAAAAGCTTGATCAAGTAATTAGTTCTCTTGCATAGATTAACTGAATTTAATAGTGCAGAAATAGGGAATATGTATATTTTTTTTTGTAGTTAGCTTACATCTCCTCTATACAGTACACAAAAAAAAACTAACGTGCTTTCCGAGAAACATTCGAGATAATAAATTTTATGGTCACCTATCCTACGACTGGCTTCCATGAAAGTCGTTTGACTTCCACAAGCCGAACGCTCTAGCCATTACGCCATTGTGCTCACTAGCAATATGTGTAAGCTCAAAATACATAACTTTGATATTTCTTAAAGCACTATGTAGTAACATAATTATTACCATTCACAATGCCTTCATCAATGAGTTTAGCAATCTTTCTTTTAGAGACTACTGTGTAATTTACGTTAAGTCTACCATACTCCCATTGTACAGGACAGTAGATGCCAAGCGCATTACATAACCAGTAATAAGAAGATCTGAAAAGAAAGTAAGTATTGAAATAAGATAGAGATATATTAAAATAACACAAACTGTAGCTTAAATTAGTTACCTACATAAATAAATAAAAAGTAAGTATATTTATCACACTAATATTATAAAGGCGATAGTTTGTGAGTGTGTATGTTTGTTACTTCTTCACGTCTAAACGGCTGGAGCGAATTGGTATGGAAGTGTAGCTGACACCCTGGATTAACACACAGACGACCTTTTAATGCGACGAAATATCCCAAACAAACGGTTAACACCGTGGTGCACAGCTATTATATTATATTTTCATATACACCACTCTCTAAATAAAACACTTTAAAGTACTTTTTATCAAAACTTTTATACATATCATTCTCTACGTTTTGTATCCTTCAGATATGTATAAAAGTATTAAAGAACACAATTTAAATCCGTTAAAAAGTTTTATTTAGAAAAAAGAAATGCATATCAAATGCTGAAAACTAAATTGCTAAAACATAAAAACGGCAGAATTACCTTCTTGATTGGAACTCCTTAGTGCATAGAGAATGTGTAATATGTTCGATACTGTCACAGAGACAGTGTGTGTAGTCATATGTAGGATAAATACACCATTTGCTGCCTGTGCGGTGATGTGGTTTAAACTTTATTCTGTAAGCCACTGGGTCTTGTTTACCTTCTTCTAAAGTTATCTTCAATCTAAGAGTGGCATCGCCTTCATCAATTTTACCATTTTTCATGTCCTACGTCCAATAAGATAAGTTATTAGTATGTATTTATTTACATCATATTAATGAGTCTTCTGGGGTACTTGTCAAATAGGTAAATCTGCGAGTTTAGCACCTAGGTGCAGCTAGCTGTATTTATAGTTTAGCAGTGCGCAATATTATGTGATTGATATATTTTTTTATTCTAATTAAATTCTGAACATTTACCTCAAATAACTGCAGACTTTCTTCAATTGGCCTATTTCTCCAAGGAGAAGGAGGAGGATTGTATCCTTTGATTTCTTCCGACTTCTGATGACAGACATATGCATGATCCTTCTTGATCAACTGCACTGCCCACTCATACAACTGATCAAAATAATCAGATGAGTGGGTTATTTTGTATGGTTTGTAACCTAAAATGCAACAATTTTTATAAAAGTAATTATTAAAATAAAATCTATACTTATTATATATCTATACGCCTTTGCCCACATTATGTTATTGTTTACTTATTTTTGTATTCTGTTGTGTGTGTGCAATAAAGAATTTATCTATCTATCTATCTATACTAATATTATAAAGCTGAAGAGTTTGTTTGATTATTTGGTTGAAAGTGCGAATTACAGGAACTACCGGTCTAATTAATTATCTAACTATTATTTTTGTGTTAGGTAGTGCATTTATCAAGGAAGGCTATAGGATATATAACATCACGCTACGACTAATAGGAGTGTAGCATCGGTGAAGAATGTTGCAAAAACCGGAAAAGGATATTCCATTTGAGAGCTTCCATTGCGTGCCCTGCTTATATATATCAGTCGACTGTTAATACATAATAAAAGTTAATGATAATAATAGTCTTTATTAGTAAAGTAGGATTGTTACCAAATGAAAAAGTTTTCTGTTTATGTTTTAGATAATTTGTTACGACATAATATTAAACAATCAAATGTAATTAATAAACTGTTAAAAATAAATAATAATTAATAATCTATTTTTGAGCTCTGTATGATCTTTCCGGTTGACTGGTAGAGAATGCCATATTAGCATTAAGTCCGCCATTTGCAGTGTAATGGCAAAAAAGATTAAATAAAATAAATAAATAAACATCCATAGATTTTGCACTTATTACGTTAGAGGTCATAACCTGTCCCAGTCATGTGGTAGGTTGACTCATGGTTTTGTCTCTCTCTGGTTTCACAACCATAATAGGGTACCCATCAGATGTTTTACATTTTACAATAATATACAGAAAAACAAAAAAAATATGAGCATCTTAGCCGAAAATTAGTCAATCATCATCATGTTGGTTGAAACCTCAACATAAACTAGATAAAAAATGGAATACTATCTGACTAATCTATATATATAAAACTCAAAGGTGACTGACATAGTGATCTATCAACGCACAGCCCAAACCACTGGACGGATCGGGCTGAAATTTGGAATGCAGGTAGATGTTATGACGTAGGCATCCGCTAAGAAAGTATTTTGATCAATTCTACCCCCAAGGGGATAAAATAGGGAATGAAAGTTTGTATGAAACTGACAATTTTAAACCGATCGGGCTGAGACTTTGCATGCAGGTATAAGAAGAATCATAGATGAATGTCATTGTGTATAATACAAGCCTAAGAACAAAAACTGTAGTCTACACTTCAGCTCTACACCGAAGCGAAGCGAGGGCGGGCCGCTAGTATCTTAATATAACTTGAATTGCATTTCGATGACTGGAATAAACAACACCAACACATTTTGCATTGGCTAAGCTTAAGATGTTGTCTGATAATGGCTAGGGACCTAATTATGCATTTTTTTAGTTTTCGGCCATCTGATACATTTCATGCTTGGGAAAATGGTATTTAATTCTTCGACGGCCTTCGTGGCCGAGTGGTTTGTAAGCCGGGTTTCATGGTGTCGCCGACTCGAGAGGTCCCGAGTTCGAATCCCGGTGGGGGCAGATGTTTGTGTGATGAATACTAGCATTTGTACTCCAGTCATGGATGTTTAATATGTATTACTATATAAATATTTTTATAAATGTACAGTATATGTATTCTATCCGTTACCCTAGTATCCCATAACACAAGCCTTATAGTGCTCACTTTGGGGGTGTGTGTTGGAATAAAAAAAAATACCTTTGAAGGAGATAAATTAAAGATTCATCATCACAAGCAGAGGGAGATTACATAACAGGAATGCATCTGTCGCCCCATGACCATGACCGGTGGAACCTGGTCGAAACATCGCGATAAAGAAGGTTTGTACCTTCTTAAGTGCTTAATACATTATATTTATAATGCAGCACGAAAGTTTAAAAGTGTATTTAGCCAATAAACCCAGTGGCTACTCTCTCTACAATAGAATGCAAAACACCCTGTCAATTGATAAGCTTTTACTATCTCCATAAAAGTGAGCTATAAGTAGAAAAAAAAAGAGGGAGCCTTACAGTAGTCGCATATGATGTGTAACATTTGAAACCTCACCTTATATTAGTAAAAAAAGAAATAAAACCTACTACAATAAGCCATTTGAACATTATGTTCTAAAATCAAATCTTCCGTCCCATTTCACGAAATCACTCCCACAAACTGCAGGAAACTAAGAGGAAAGATGTTACACATCAAAAATAATAGAAATCATAAACTTACCGAGCCACTCCACCATATCTTTGATACCAATGAAAAATTTCTCCTCTTCTTTCTCAGGATTGGTATCATCATACCTCAAAAAGCAAATCCCATCATGAGCTGCAGCATATCCAAAATTTATATTGATAGCTTTAGCATGTCCTATGTGAAGAATACCATTGGGCTCTGGTGGGAATCTAGTGCGCACCTTGCCAGATGTGATTTTAAGGTGTTCTTCAAGCAACCTTTTAGTATCTGGAGTGACCACATATCCATCAGATTTGTAGTTCTCCCCAGGAGCGTGGAAGGGGAGTTTCCTCATTAGGTCAGCAATGGATGAAGCTCCTCCCACATCACCTCCTACTTCAACTTTAGGTTTTGCCACTGAAATTACCAAAACCAATAAAATTAATGTATGAAAGTTATGAATGAATACTTACTAATAAGGAAGTTTAAAGCAGAATATCTGCTAGCTATAATGGTGGGTTCTCAGCATAGGGAGAGTGAAAAACAACAAACAAGCCCTCACCGGCAAACCTATATAAGTTATTTTGGACACAGACACTGAACATTGGTTAGGTCTTGAAGGCTATATTTAATACCCCTTTAATATATAGTTTTTTGTAGTGTAATTTTTTGACAGGTATCTAATCAATGTTTGTTAATTCAATGCAAATTTTGTTCATATACTTTCTATAAACTGATTGAATTGAAAATATTTGTGATATTCAAGTGCATGATCAGTTGTATAGCTGTGTCTTTTCCTCGCGCTCCGTACCTGCTAATATAGCTAACAGTGCATTCAGAATTACGATAAAGAGTCATAGAAATAAAGTGCATATTCTTTAGGCTTCAGTAGTAATTGTTTGACTCATGGGTTTAAATAAAGACCTTATTTAATATGCATTAATGGTGACTTTGAATGTTCATATATTGCCTTATATTGTTTTTGACTACACAATCATTTTACACAGCTCCATGGATCGTTCAATGTACCTTTTGGACAAGTATCGGCCATGATTTGGTTGCTAATGTTGTATCATGGGTAATAAAATTTCGTTGCTCAAAGGAGCCATTACATAAGAAAAAAAAACAAGAAATCTAATCTGAAATAAAAATATTTTCTCTAATATTGATTACAATGAATAAAATTGTACATTATTTAGATTAATAATAAAATATGTCCACAGACCTTGTTTGTTCTTGTCTTTCTGTTTGGGCTTATTGTTGGTTTCTCCACCTTTCGGTTTTTTCTCTGGCTTAGGAAGAGGTGCAAGGTCTGCCTCAGTTTTAGGGCCGAGAAGATCTAAAATCTGAAATATTAAAACAACTGTTTTGCAATAATTGTGCGTTTAACTTCAAATAATAAATATTAAATTACAATAGGCAAACATCTGAACAAATATAATAACACTTATATACAATACTTATTCAAATGGGTAAACAGAGTACAGTGAAGATCAAATCAATGATACGCATATGATATGCATAGCTTTTTTTTGTAAAATATCATAAAGAAAACTTTACAAGAAAAAAATACACACAGACCAGACAGCAGATGGGACCAAAGCCTGGTCCATCTACTATGTTAAAGGTCATGCGCAGTTATCACCATCATTGTTGGACTCCCTTACGGGGCCCCCTGCGGGTATGGCAATCGTGATGGAAACGATTGCATTGTTATGCCGATTTCTCTGTTATTTTGTAAGAATACCCTAGATAAACTATTTATATATTTGGATTCTCCATAAAATTTACTATGAAACAGTGTCTACCAAAGCAGAAGGGGAAAGGACCCGCGAAGACGAAGTCTGGGGCCAAGCGGGCTAGGCTCGATGAGACAGTGTCTCCTCGAGGCGAATCCAAACGGCCTAAGACGACGGCGACCGAGACCGCCCCACAATCCTACGCAGCTGCAGCGGCCTCCTCGGCTCCCATCAGGTGTGCCGTCACGTCGAAGACCGGGTTTATCTCGAGACCGACGGCGGAGCAAATTGAGGAGAAGCTCGAGGAAGCCTTTTTACAGGCAGCGATGAGCACGGAACGTCCGGCCTGTATGAGGGAGGGTCTTGCATTTAGCGGGAAACCCCTCTACGCGGACGGGTGCCTTCGCTTTACTTGCACCAACACCGCAACGTTTGGGTGGTTCCAACAGGTAGTACGAGACCTCCACGACTCGGACCTGGGAGAGCTTGTTGTCCTCCGGGAAGACGAGATCCCCAAGAGAGTCAGGTGTGGTTTTGAGCTACCTAAGCTCTGGAAACACGATCAGGTGTTGCTAGGCAAATGCCTACAGATCGGGAATCCAGACCTGACACCCGAACGTTGGCTGCTCAACGGCATCCAACAGCAGCCTTCCATCGGGGCCACATTCGTTGTGGTTTCGATCCCTGAGGACGTTGTGCCTGCGATCCTGGCTAGGGGACGCCGACTCAGCTTTATGTTTGGGTCGGTGTACCTGAAATTCAGGGACGCCAAGGGGAAGTACGTCGACACTCTGCCGACGTCCAACCCCTCGGCACCACTCGGGGCTCAAACCACGGCGAAACTTACACTAGCGCCCCCAACACCATCTACATCTAGCGCTGGCCCCACGGACACCGTCGTTCTACGTGCCTCGTCACCGGCTGTCGAAGTTCCGGGACCCTCGCAGGTGGCGTCTTCGCCGCTCAGTGAGGAGTGTCTCCTGGAACTCGACGGGCTGGGGCTTGAGGACGTCGACTGCCAGGACGATGGCGTCCCTCTGCAGTAGTGCAAACATACTGCAAATAAATCTCCACCACAGCGTAACCGCTACCTACGGCTCAGCTTCGGCGGTGGTTGGAGACCAACAACACAGCAGTCGTACTAATCCAGGAGCCGTGGATTAGGAGTGGCACGGTGCGAGGACTCTCCAGCATAGGAGGTAAGCTCGTTCAAGCCACTACTAGCGACGTAAGGTCCTGCATATACATTTCCAAAAACATCAGAACACAGCCCTTAATGAATTTCTGTTCCAGAGATCTCTGCGCTGTAAAACTGACCCTAAACCAAGATAATAACAGTTGTGACGTGATCATAGCCTCTGCATATATGCCTGACAGCGAGCGGGCTCCACCAGAAAACGTTGCGTCTCTGGTCCGCTTCTGTGCTCGGGAAAACGTAGAACTGATCATCGCGACAGACTCCAATGCCCATCACCCTGTGTGGGGAATGGAACAAAGCAACAACAGAGGTAACCAATTATTTGAATTCCTTCTGACTACTAACCTAGAGTTAATCAACACAGGCAATGAACCTACCTTCGTAGGCAGACGGTGCAAGACCATCATAGACCTGACCCTCGCGACACCAAAAGCGGCAACAGCTATATCTGGCTGGCATGTCTCCAATGAGGCATCATGCTCAGATCACCGCTGGATCCGTTTTACACTACAGGTAGGAACTCTATCTCCTACACCCCAAAGGTATGCTCGGAAAACCGATAAACACCGCTACGCACAACTACTGGCGGACCTTCTAAGAAACAACTCCGGTAAGGGCAGAATTGAAACCACGGAGCAGCTAGAACAACAGGTAAAACACTTGACAGACAGCATAACGCGTTGCTACGAAGAGGCCTGCCCCCTTAGACTCCCGAACTCGAGAGTACCCGGCAAACACCACTGGTGGGGCCGAAGCTCGAGAGATTGAGAGGAAAGGTGAGGAAGTGCCTTAACAGAGCAATGAATACATGCAGCGACACAGACTGGGACAACTACAAAGCTACCAAAGCTAAGTACAAAAAACGTATCAGATATTGGAGAACAGCCTCCTGGAGGAACTTCACCGAGGAGATAAGCTCCACCAACCAGGCAAACCGGGTAAGGAAATTGCTGGCCAAGCAAGGCCCTGGCGTGCTGGGAAGCCTGCGTCGACTTGACGGCACATTGTCCCACAATCGTGCTGACTGCGACGCTATCCTCCTAGAAACCCACTTTCCGGACTGCCAGCTTACAGAGCAGGTGACTTGGCAAGATGAACCTCCAAGTACAACAGAAGGATGCTGGAGCCTAGCAGAGACGGTAATTACGCCTGAGGGAGTAAAGTGGGCTATTAACTGCTTTGCGCCTTTCAAATCTGCTGGCTCTGACAGCATCTTTCCAGCACTACTACAATGGGGCGGACAGGACGTGGTCGATGCGGCTACTCGTATACTAAGATCATGTCTGGCTCATCGGTACACTCCACATCTGTGGAGGGAGGTCAAGGTAGTATTCATACCCAAACCGGGTAAAACCGACTATACTAACCCTAAATCCTTCAGGCCCATTAGCCTAACAACCTTCTTACTTAAGACAATGGAAAGGCTATGTGACAGATACCTACGCAGTGGAGCATTAATCAATGCCCCACTACACAAACATCAACATGCCTACAGTTCAGGTAAATCTACTGAATCGGCTCTCCATCAGTTAGTCGGTAAGATAGAAGAAGCCCTTCAAAATAAACTTATCTGCCTCGGAACCTTCATCGATATAGAGGGTGCTTTCGATAAGACCAACTTCACCAGCATTGAGTCTGCTCTCAGGAGACACGGAGTAGAGCAACAAATCATTGACTGGACTGTTAACATGCTTCGCAATAGAATAGTTCGGGTAAAAGGTGAGGACAGCAGAGGAGCACTGGTGGCACGAGGATGTCCGCAAGGAGGGGTCCTTTCGCCACTTCTGTGGAACCTCGTAGTTGACGACCTGCTGACCAAGCTAAACTCGAACCACTACTACACCATAGGGTATGCAGATGACATTACTATACTTACCCTAGGCACCCACGCCAGCATTACCTGTAACACCATGCAAGGTGCTTTGAAACTGATTGAATGCTGGTGCAGGAAATACGACCTCACAGTTAATCCAACAAAAACAGAACTGGTAATGTTTACAACCAAACGTGACGTAGGTGCTTTCAACTTGCCGAAGCTGTTTGGTATCACACTACAACTGTCGAAGGAGGTAAAGTATCTAGGCCTTATACTTGACAGTAAGCTAAACTGGAGTAACCATGTGGAACACAAAATCAAGACAGCCAGCGTAACACTTTGGCAATGTCGTCAAATGTTAGGGAAGTGCTGGGGTCTTGCACCAAAACTGTTCCTATGGTTATATTACACAGTCATACGACCAATGGTAAGTTATGGCGCCATCATATGGTGGCCGAGATCTATCCAGACTACCTGTGTCAATAAACTACAAAGCTTCCAGCGGCAGATATGCAGCGCGGTGACCGGGTGCATGAGTACAGCTCCAACCGCAGCACTGGAAGTTATTTTAAACATCACACCGCTCCATATCTACATAAGACAGGAAGCGGCTAAAACAGCGTTGAGACTACAGAAGTTTGGACTGGTAAGGTTCGAAAGAGCAAAGCATCTCAACGGTATACTGAAGGAATGGGTAAACACTCCGCTCATAGATGCTGCATGTGACAAAATAATACCCGCCTTCATATTTGACAAAAAGTACAGAATACATCTACTGGATGACAACGATCCAAAGGTAACACACAAGGCTCTCATGATCTACACCGACGGCTCTAAAACCTCATCGGGCACGGGCGCGGGTGTTTTCTCTGAGGACCTCAACATACACATCGCGTTCCCCTTAAGCCCATACAACACAGTGTTCCAAGCTGAATGTATGGGCATCACACTGGCGGCAACAGCGATCCTTTCAAGAAAGGTAACAGGTCAGGAAATACGAATACTGTCCGACAGCAAATCAGTCCTACAAGCTCTAGATGCCTGTTTAGTCAGATCGAGCCTCCTACAAGAATGCCACCAAACCTTAAACAAGGTAGGGTCAAGCAATTCCATTACCATCCAATGGATCAAGGGACACAGTGGATCACGCGGAAACGACGCTGCGGATGAGCTGGCCCGGAAGGGATCTGATACGACCCCAACAGGTCCTGAACCAATCGTCCCAATACCGGTAAGCTGTCTCGTCAATAAAATCCGCGAGCACACTGCCGAACTACACCAGCAATACTGGCTCGACCTGGAGACGTGCAGGCAGACCAAGCTCGCTTTGCCACGGGTGAACGCTGCCTTCTCCAAAACTCTCCTACAGCTAAGCAAACCTACATTAAGCATGGTAACGGGTGCTATCACTGGACATGCACATTTTAACAGACATCTTTTCAACTTAGGTGTCACGGACAGCCCCCTATGCAGAGGATGCATGGAGGCAGAAGAAACAGCTACTCACGTTCTGCTGGAATGCAACGGAGTGGCCGAATACCGGGCGAAATACCTCGGCTCACCGGGAAACCTTCAAGAGGCAGTCACCAATGTGAAGGCCCTGGGGGCGTTCCTGGGGGAGCTGGGCTGGCTGGAGTGATTCCGGCCATACACCCTCCTTACGCAAAACAGGCGCCATAAGGACGTCGAGTTGCGGAAACGCCCGTAGCAACAACAAGAACAACAACAGTGTCTACACAATGTGTTATGTCTATATTCTATTTTAATTACGTTACAGTAAACTCGGGAAAGATAGAAAGGTCGTTTAGATGGTTAAATGGGGTATATTTTCAAAATTTGAAAATTATGAGTCCAGGTTTTTTGGTTATTAGCATATTCTATTATAACTTACCAAATAAAATTATAAAATACCCTACTACTACCATTTAAGTTTACACTATACCTATTATAATCAGCGCGCCAAATGGGACACCCAAACATGCAATGGAAAAACAGATGTCCGAAAACGAATGCACCCACTAAGGCTTAAAGAAATATCCTCAGTTAGGTTGGATTGTTTACATAACTTTACTAAGTCTCTGATGAATAGTCTTTGTTCATGATGAATAGTCTTTATTCATTTTATAGTTTCAAGAACTGGCAACAATTTTTTTTTTGATGATTCTCTTACGAGGTTGTTAGCAAAATAATTCTAAAAAAAATAATCTTATGGAAACCCATAAACGAAACATCAAAATAGAGTAACTAAATGTATTTACCTTACCCAGGCATGTTTTTTTTTTCTTTTGGTTTTTCTGGTTTTTCTATAAAACCACTGAAAAACACTTAAAATAGTCTGAATACACTTAACGTTTAAGCGCGTAATACACATAACCTTGTATGTAACATATTGATATAAGAATGTAAATGCTAGCAAAAATAATGAATATTATATTTTCCATAGAATAAGTTGGGTTAGCACTCCACCAAATTTTGGTTATTTAACACAGCACCGAATTTTAACAGCGACCTAAACTCAGTTGCTCAGCAAAGTAGAGGAAATGGAAAATTAAATAAGTAAAATACTTAATAAATAAAATCCATAATTCCATAAATAATAGATTTATGACTTATGTTTACCTGAACATCAACCTCATTTTTTATAGCTTTCCCATCAGCCCAGGGTAATTCGGTTCTGACAGCTTGCATAATAATGCCAGAGTTAAAGCGATACCTCTTTTCAAGCAATTCATTTTTAAATTTTGCCATATGAAGCTCAACAGCTTGCTCCACCTGCTCTGGTGTTACCACCAATCCGACACCACAGGCTTTATCCAAGGCTTCAATATTAATGCTAGTTTCATTCACATTACTCAGAAGATACTCAAGGGCTGCATCAACTCGTAGTGTCGAATCAAGCTTTCCACAGGCAATGTAATTACAAACAAATGGAAGTTTATTTGAAATTTGAGGTTTGATTTTCGTTGCCAGATGGTATACCAGCATACCCGCTCCAGCAGGTAATTTTGAAATTTCGACCTGAAATAAAAGTCATTTTAAATTCCCAACCACGGAAAGTACATTAGATCACAATTTCATACTTATAAATAGGAGTTATAACCTCGTTAATCGCCGCAAGTAAAAGTTTTGTTACATTACTATTTTTTAATGTTTCTTTAGCTTTTTGTTCACTTAAACCTAGTATTTTAAATCTTTCCACAGTGTCTTCTGGGGACATGATTACTTTTAATAGAGTTTAAATTGATTTGGGCGGGTTTCTATAAATATTCTGATTTGAACTAGGCCAGACTACTTCGACTATTGTACGAGCACAGACCAATTGTACGAGGTACAGAAAGAAATAAACTTCCTTGACGTAAAGTGTTTTTTTTAATTTTTTTTTTGGTTAAGTTCTCCCTTTTCAGGGAAGGCAAGGGGAACAATGCCCATACAGCCTAGTCTTAAGTTAAATTATTCTATTTTTCTTTTTACATTAGAATGTCGGTGTGACGCATTCTAATGTTTCTTGAAGTGTTTGGCGCGAAATGTATCGAGCTGGCTTTTTCGATAAGCTTCTGTGAGGTAGTTAATACTACAATAAAATTCCCACGTCCACTTGACCGGAATAGCGTATATTTTGACGATTCTACTAATTCTTCAGTTACGCAGACAGTTGTAACACAAAATCACACCAATTTTATTTCACAATATCCACTATGAACGAATTTAAGAATTAAAATAAGACGCCAACCACACTCGATGAAATTCCGCCAAAAACTCCTTTTTTTTATTTATTTTTTTATTTTTGTTCCCATCTTGAAAAAGGCAAAGGCAGAGCCATGCAGCCATAGTCTTCATATAAAAGTTTTTTTGTGTTTCTTTTTTTCTATAAGGCCGAAATCAAGGTATTTGTCCTAAATAGTCTTCGTAATCCATTTTCAGTTGAGGTGCTTATTTTTTCCCCCAAATTTTCAAATCCGATTTTGAAGTCATCGTCTTGTTTGTTTAACGTCAAGAATTTTTTTATAGTTCCATATCTATGGAAACTAAAAAATATATAAATATTTGTATGATTCTGATTCATAATAATGTCTTGAATGTCACGCGGGATTTTATTATTAGTCTTATATAATTTAATTAAATTGTCAGCTAGAACAAGGTCTTTGGGTACGGTCACAGTGCACGCAGGTTCAGAATCAGATTCAGACTCGAGAAATAAACAGTGGCCCTAGCGGCAGCAGGCATCCTACTTAAACTACACTGTTTTTTTCTCGCGATTGTTTTCTGAGTCTGAATCTGTGTGAACTGTGGCCGTACCCTTTGTTTGTTATATGTTGTACATTCAAAAAATATATGGTTTAATGTGATCTATATTTAAATTACAGTTAATGCATAATGTAGATGTAATTATATTCATTCTATGTAAATGTGAATTAAAACGTCCATGTCCAAATATCAAGCAACCATCACATGGTGGTATCAAATTTCCGGTTATGGTATTCTTTAGATTTTGTAAACCATGGATGTTGACCAATCATAGTAGTGTCGATTCTGGCGTGATTCTCTAAACTTAAAACTAAATTTAACATTAAACTCTCCTTTTCATTCTGTACAGAGAATGACAAGGATACACTGGTGTGGATTCTGGCGTGATTCTCTAAACTTAAATCTAAATTTAAAATCAATCGATCCTTTTCATTCCGTATAGAGAATGACAAGGATACACTATTGTCTAATTTAAGTTTAGGTTTAGAGAATCGTGTCAGAATTGACACCACTGTTGTCAAATTTAAGTTTAGATTTAGAAAATCGTTCCAGAATCGACACCATTATTAATTTTATGATACCATTTACCTTAAATTACAAGCGTTTCATACCAATTAATCAGCCAATCTTGTTTTAACAAAAGTTTAAGTTTGGGTAATAAATCTGAGAAAGGTATGGCAACATTTTTGAAGTTCCCAGAGTGCACGCAGATTCAGATTCAGATTCAGAAAACAGGGTGCTCGTGAGATGTCAGCTTGAGGAAAGCAGATGATGGCCACAGTGGGGGATTAATGGGGGGAAGAAATTAAGTTTTGGGGGAAACGGGAATTTCTTTATTACATCTATTTATATAAAAATGAAACCCGTTTTCCGTTGTCACGACATAACATGAAAACGGCTTGACCGATTTGGCTGATTTTTTTTTTTAGAATATTCCTTGAAGTACGAGGATGGTTCTTACGAAGAGAAAAATTAAAAAAAAATGCCTGAAAATGTCAAAAAACAAAACTTTTCTTTACTCCCATACAAACGATTCGTAATAATACTTAAAAGTCAATTTGAACTTTAATACCATACCATAAATTTCAAATGTTAGTGGAGAGATTCTGGGAAGGCAAAACAATTGAGTGACGTGATGTCAATAGAAGTTTGGAAAAGATAAATATACCATCTTCAGTTTTTGACGTGACAACGTCTTAAATTAGGTTGCGGCTGGGAGTCACTTATGAAAAAGTGTAACGCTCGGTAACGTTACGATGAGTCTCTCGTGTTAAGTTTAAGTTTACATGTACAATGTTTTAGTAAACAAAATATATTTCTATAGTTAAAATTTGTGCAATTCTTATTTTCATTCAATTCCTTGTTCCTATTGTGCAATTTAATTATATTCATATCAATAAATATTCTACCGAGAAAAAGACGTTGTCACGTAAAATCTTCGCCCGTAAAACCGACTTTACAGGCAACCATTTTTTTTTTTTATAATCTATATATATAAAACTCAAAGGTGACTGACTGACGTAGTAATCTATCAACGCCCAGCCCAAACCACTGGACGGATCGGGCTGAAATTTGGCATGCAGGTAGATGTTATGACGTAGGCATCCGCTAAGAAAGGATTTTGATCAATTCTACCCCCAAGGGGATAAAATAGGGAATGAAAGTTTGTATGAAACTTTGTCAATTTTAAAACTGAACAGGCTGAGACTTTGCATGCAGGTATAAGAATAATCATAGATGAATGTCATTGTGTATAAGACAAGCCTGAGAACAAAAACTGTAGTCTACGCTTCAGCTCTACACCGAAGCGAAGCGAGGGCGGGCCGCTAGTTTTTATATAAAAATAAAACCACTTCGTAAACTTTTAATCTGTAAAAAGTCGCAATCGACAGTTATTCAACATTTGTTTCCCCAATTAAAAGTCGATAGGAAACGTTTCTTCCAATATTTTAGGATGGAAGTGGAAACGTTCTTCTACATTTAAAAAAAAAATGAACCTCACATGATGAAGAATTGGTGTAATTTGCACAAACACAAGATTCTTCCAGAAGAACGCCTTGTTATAACCATTAGGTAAGAATTTATTACAATCTCACTAATCCAGATTTGATGGGACCAGACTGTTCGGATTAACCAGAAAGCTGTGTCTGGATTCGCGAGGGTAGTGTAATTTGAATAATTTGTATGGTTTATATTATATAAAGGAACTGTTTAATTTCATTAAAAAAATTCCTTTAGTTTATGGTTTTATAAATTATATTTTTGTTGCTGTCACTGTTACAAAATTAACTGTCAATAATAAATATACCAAATACGAGAAGACAATTTCACTTGACATTGGCGGAGCTGTGCTAAGTCACAACGCAAGCCATCATAAAAGAAGAAGAGAAGTCAATTCTTTCTTCTTACTTACTTAATACTTATACCAAATCCTACAACTCTATAACCCAAGCAGACGAGCATTATTAGAGCTACGTTTTCATGGTGACCCCGAATGAACGCAACACAAACCAGGGAGTAATATTTACGTTTATTTATTATGGCTGTTAAATGAGTAGTTAGTCTATGTCTGTCGTCCTTAGTCTAGACTTGTCAGTACGTCGATATTATAAAATTGCTGAGCCAAACAGTCGTCTTATTAATAATTATATACTATAACATGGTGTCAGAAGTGCAAGACCTATAATGAGTCCGTCGGGACAGTCAGAAGAACGAAAACATAAAACCAAAATCAACATGCCGGGATGCAGTAACATGACGATGACTGGTAATCTCGCGAACAATTGGAGAAAATGGTATCAATCGTTCAAATTATATTTAACAGTGAAGTCGAGTCTAGCGTGATTTTCTAAACTTAAAACTAAATTTAACATCAGTCTCTCCTTTTCATTTTGTATTGAGAATGACAAGGATGCACTGTTGTCAAAATTAAGTTTAGCTTTAGAGAATCATGACAGAATCGACATCAGTATCTGGTTTAGACGAGGAGAGTGACCAGCGAAAAGTCGCAATTCTACTTCATCTCACCGGAGCAGAATGTCTCGAAATTTTCAATTCGCTCCAGAAGGACGAAGAAAATATTACTTTCAAAGAGTTGGTTACACTTTTCCAAAATCATTTTGTCCCAAAAACTTATGTCACGTTTGAATGTCAGCAATTCTTCACATACAAGCAGTCAGAGGAGCAGACCATCGACCAGTTCGTAACCGAGCTAAAGGCAAAAAGTCAAACATGTGATTTAGGCACACTCCAAGAGCGACTCATAAAAGTTATGTTTATATGTAATATGCACAGCAGATACAATGATAAAATATCGCCAAGAAAGTACTAGGCAGAAGTACTTGTTCGGAAATTGGTTTTATCAAAAGAGTTTTGTCTATCAATCAACAACAAACACAAAACGGTCAGTAAGTCAAGTCTATTTACAAAGTCGATGTCAGACAATAATAACAAGTCAAAGTCAAACTCGATAAATTTTGGTAAAAATTGTCAAAATAATTTAAGTTCTTTGCTTGAACAATATAAATCAGTCTTCGTGGGTTTCGGTTGTATGCCAGGCGAATGTCATATAAGTATTAATCCAGAGGTGCGACCGAAAATTGATGCGCCACGAAAAGTCCCATTTGCGTTGTACGACAGGCTTCAACAAGAATTAGATAAAATGGAAAATATGGACGTCATCACAAAAGTGACAGAACCAACAGACTGGGTAAGTTCACTTTTGTTAGTTGAAAAAAAGAACGGGCAACTTAGGGTTTGTCTAGATCCAAGAAATTTGAATCAGGGTATTCGTAGGTCTCATTACCCTATTCCAACGGTAGACGTAGTACGTTCTAAGGTTGTAGGAGCTAAATATTTTTCAAATCTTGACGCCTGCAGTGGATTTTGGATGTCCTGCTTGGATAGAGAGAGTTCTTACCTCACAACCTTTCATACACCGTTTGGGCGTTATCGTTTTAAACGCTTCCCGTTTGGTGTCAATTGTGCACCGGAATATTTTCACAGAGTCATGACAGAAACGTTTAGCGATATTCCAGGCGTAGTTGTGTACAGTGACGATATTTTAGTCTGCGGAGAGTCCGTACAACAACATAATGAAGATTAAAGCTAGTATTTGAAAAAGCTTTAAAATATAACGTCAGGTTTAATCGTGAAAAATGTTCATTTGCTAACACAGAGGTTAAGTACCTAGGACATATTTTTTCTGGTGATGGAGTAAAACCAGATCCGCAAAAAGTAAAAGCTATCACAGAAATGCCGTCGCCAGCATGTGTAAAGGACTTACAACGGTTTCTTGGTATGTTAAATTACCTTAGTCCTTATATTAGTAATTTAGCGGATGAAGTCAGTCCGTTGAGAGATCTTTTGAAAAAAGATTCAACTTTTATATGGAATCCTAATTACGAGAACATATTTTGTGGTCTAAAAAGTTTAATTTGTCGTTCTCCGGTATTTATTTATTTA